TCTGCCTACTTGTGCTCTCTCTCTCTGTCAAATAAGTAAAATCTTAAAAAATAAAAATAAAATCACCCATGCTTTAACACCTTAAGATGTACTTTTTTTCGAGAAACTAAATTGGATCAAAGATTCTGACTTTTATTCCAAAGCACTGTTTCTGAAAGTGGTAATTTTGTGTAAGATTTAAGAATCCCTATCCAGCCATTTGTTTTTGTCTACTGAGCATCATTTGGGGAACTGCCTTCTCTGACTTCATATGCTTCTGGAAGGGCTATTAATTACAGGACTGCCTCTTGACCACAGTGTATGACCCAAGCCAGGCCAATGGTTTATTTCTCGGGAATTCAAATCTGGAACAGAAATACAGACATAAAGATGCTGGGAGCCAAGGTATATAATGGTCTACAAATTTGAGTTATCCGAGTCCTGTTCTTGTGGCCTGGTTTCGCTCTTCTGTGAATTCTATCAACTGTGCTTTATATCATTCTAGTAAATCCCATTTTCTTTAAGTTTTTATTGCTTGAGATAAGAAATTCCACTTGGTTACAAAATAAGTGAACCCAGCGTTTCAGAGCTTTAAGTGGACTTAAAACACCCAAGCTGTATGAAGATGATCCATGGATGTGCAGGAAGAAGATTAGAATCTTCACTTTTTTCTCTAATAATTTCTGTTGTTAACATGTCTTAGAGTGAACATAACGGTATAGCAGTTTATATATTTGACTTATAAGTAAATACTGGGGCAGCACATGCAAAACAAGATTCAGAGCAACCCTCTGGGAAAATGTATCAGGAATGTGCGTAACAAAACAAAACTTAATCAGGAATAATTTTTTCCTTGAATTAACATGAAGTCCAAAAGTTACTACAGGTATTAGTTCAGCTGCTCACTGACACTCTCTTTTCTCTTTCCATTCCACTATCCATGGTTTCTAACACCTCTGGGATTGTTGTCTGAAGCTTATAAAAGGGCTGATAGAACATCGAATGTCACATCAGTTCAGGGTAGAATGAAGAGATAGCTGTGCCAGCCAGTTCTGTCCCCTCTTAAAAGGAAAGCTAAAGATTTCTCAAAATCCCTCCCAGCCAACTTTCATTTAAGTCTCCTTGTTGAGTACTGTGGCTCATGTCCATCTTCAGCTACATGAGAGGCTAGGAAAGTGACTATATAGCTTTCTCAGTAATGAGAATAGTCAGCCAAAGAAGAAAGTTGACACTGGATATTGGGGCAGTCAAATAATTTGTCACAGAAAGATGACCAGAGTCTAAAATTACTTTGGTTATGGGGCAATAAAGAGTGTCAGAAAAGGTTTCAGAACTCTTGCTGTAACATTGTATTGCTGTTTCTTCCCATTGTTGCAATCATTGCACAACTGAACCTTTCTTAAGTAGAAAATAGAATCTTTTCTAGTGAGCAAGACTGAGCACTTATGTTGAAATGCCATTTGTATTTATTTCAGTGATTGCTGTTTACATCCTTTGCCCCCTTTTTAAGGACTTTATTATTATCAGTGTTACATATAATTTAAAGAGCTAGCTAGTTTTAATAGTTTCGGTTTTAAGTGTTAATTTTAATCTGTAGGAGAGGACGATTTAGTTTTCCTTCCTTTACCCCCAACATATGCTTCCCATCCTCCCTCCCACCAATATATTTCTTGATTTTAATCACTATTCATAGTTTACATTACTATCCTATATTTCATTCATAGCTGAACCATGTAGTACTTTGCTACTCAAAAGTGTGGTCAGGGGTCCAGCAGCACTGGTCTCCCCTGGGAGCTTGTGAAAAATGCAGAAACTGGCCCAGCCCAGAATGTTAAAGATCCCCAAGGTATTCTTAACGCACATTAAAGTGAGAAACACTGAAGTATGCTATTGTTATTTTTGTTTTCTGGATTTGTGTGTTCCTCAGAGCTAATTTTTTTTTTATTTGAATATCACTAACTCAACCACAAATTATCAGTTGTCAGAATGTCCTTTCAAAAAGTTTGTTTGGGGCATCTGGGTAGTGCAGTCGGTTAAGCATCTCTTGATCTCAGCTCAGGTCATGATCTCAGGGTTGTGGGATCAAGCCCAGAGTCGGGCTGTGCGCTCAGCATGGAGTCTGCTTGAGATCTCACTCTCCCTCTGCCCCTCCCTCTTATGCCCTCTCTCTAAAATAAATCTTAAAAAGAAAAAGTTTGTTCAAGGGTACCTGGGTGGCTCAGTCCATTGGGCATCTGACTCGATTTCAGTGCAGGTCTTGATTTCAGGGTATTGAGTTCAAGCCCCGTGTTGGGCTCTGTGCTGGGCATGGAGCTAAGTAAATATGTATGTAAGTACATAAGTTTGTTCACATCAGATAGTTTAATGTCATCTTTTTAAAGAAGTCTCTTCTGGAGCCTTTTACCTTCTCTACTTACAACCCTTTAGGCCTAGTGCACAGCTACACTCTATACATGGTCCTCTGACTAATGTTATAGCTGCAGGGAAGTCCAAGCCATTGTAGTTCATGTGTTTTTTTGTTTTGTTTTTAGTTTATTTGAGAGAGAGAGAGCAGAGTGAGAGAGAGCATGAGAGCACGAGTGGGGAGGAAGGGCAGAAGGAGAAGCAGATTCCCCACTGAGCAGGGAGCCCTATGTGGGGCTCAATCCCAGGATCCCGGGATCATGACCTGAGCTGAAGGCAGATGCTTAACTGACTGAGCCACCAAGGTGCCCCAGTTCATGATCTTTTGTCACCCACAATTTTCTTGTTGAAACTCACCACATCTCAGAATTCTAAAATATCACAATAGTGTGGTTTGTGTGGGCCCTTTTTTGTCTATTGTGCTGGGTACCTAATGGGCCCTTTCAATTTGGAAACTTGTGTTCTTCAGTTCTGGGAATTTTCTTGAAAATTTCATCAATGGTTTTTCTACCGTTTCTGATCTTGGAACTCCTTATTTGGATATTGGACATGCTGGACTGGTTCTCAAGTTTTCTCATCTTTTTTTCCTCTTATTTCTGTTTCTTGGCCTTTATGTTCTATTTTGAATTCCTTAACTCTGTCTTCCAACCCCTCTGTTGAACTTTTCATTTTTCTTGTATTTTCAACTTCTCCAAGCTCTCTTGTCATCTGAATATTTCCTTTTTCTAGCGTTCTTTTTTTTTTTTTAAAGATTTTTATTTATGTATTTGAGAGAGAACACGAGCTGGGGGGGAAGCCAAGGTGGAGGGAGATGGAGAGAGAGAATCTCTCAAGCAGACTCCACACACTGAGCACAGAGCCAACGCGGGGCTCAATCCCACAACCCTGAGATCATGACCTGAGTCAAAACCAAGAGACGCTCAACCGACTGAGCCACCCAGGCGCCCTGCATTCTGTCCTTAATTCATAAGTGTCATTCTTATTTCTCAGGGGATATGGTTTATATTTTTTTGCTTCCAATTACCTTTTTGGCTTGTTTGTTTTTATTTTGATCCCTGATATGTTAAGTGGCTTTCCTTAGATTGATGGCTTTTTAAGAGTAAAAAAACCCATAAAAGTTGATTGGAAGTTCTAGGCACTTAAGGGCTTGCAGACTGTTTCACTAAAGGGATATCTGGCTCAAATACCCTTTTAGGGGGGAATTTCCAAGATCAGAAATGTTTTAGGCTGATCTGTTCCCTAGAGAGGAGTTCAACAAGCTTCCAGGAGGATAAAGGTCTAGGAGCCCAGGGGGAGAAGGTGGCGTGAGAGAAATGGGTCTCAGCGTTGAGTCACTCAATCCTGTTTTGTTTGCTTTTTTATTTTTAAAGATTTTATTTATTTGAGAGAGAGAGAGCACATGAGCAGAAAGGGAGAGGGAGAAACAGGCTCTCTGCTGAGCAAGGAGCCCAGTGGGGAACTCGATCCCAGGACCCTGGAATCACGACCTGAGCTGAAGGCAGACAGACGCTTAACAGACTGAGCCACACAGGCGCCCCTCAGTCCTGTTTTTAACACAACTTCCCTCCCTCAACTCTGCCTGTGTCCTCCCCACTCTAAAGATCTTATTATCTCTGGAGGACAAACTGCTGGTCTTTCATTTGGAAGAAGATAAGGTATTTCTTCACCATTCCTTTTTTTAGTTCCCTCCCAACATTAAGATTGCTCTTTGCAGTTATTTTGATATTGGGGGTGACTTTATAACGAAAGTTCTATACCAAAGAGATGAGGTGTGGTAGCAGAATAATGTGCCCCCCCCAAAAAACCCTTGTGAATATTACCTCACATGGCAAAAGTCCTTGCAGATGTGATTAAGTATCTTCAGCTGGAGAGAGTAGCCTGGATTATCCAGGTGGACCCAATGTCATCAAAAGGATCCTTCTAAAAGGGAAGCGAAGTTGGAGGACTAAGGGGCCACAGGCCAATGAGTGCAAGCGGCTTCCAGCTGAAAGAAGTGGGGAAAAGGATTCTCCCCTACGGTCTCCAGGAGGAATGCAGCCCTGCACACCCATTTCGGATGTCTGATCTCCAGAACCGTAAGCTAAACAATTTATATTGTTTGAGCCCCTACATTTGTGGCAAGGTGTTACTGCAGCATTAGGGAACGCACTCCTGGTGAACTAATGAGCTAAGACAAACTCTCCAGACCTCAGGATTCTTGACCTCACTAGTAGTTTCTATTTCTCAACCCTAGCTACATACTAGAATCACCCTAGAGTTGTTGGTTTTTTTTTTTAAAGATTTTATTTATCTGACAGACAGCGAGAGGGAACACAAGCAGGGGGAGTGGGAGAGGGAGAAGCAGGCTTCCCGCTGAGCAAGGAGCCTGATGCGGGACTCGATCCCAGGACCCTGGGATCATGAGCTGAAGGCAGCCGCTTAAGCGACTGAGCCACGCAGGCACCCCAGAATCACCCTAGAGTTTTAAAAGCATCCTGGTGCCTGGGTATCACAGTAGATTAATGTCAGAATTTCTGGTAGTGGAGGCAGATACCAGCATTTTTGGGAAAGCTTCTCAGGTAATTGTAATATGCAGCCAGATCTAAAATCCACTGTGTACTAAGTGTAAAGATAGCATTTACCTAACCCAGGGGTTTTACCTCAAAGTGTGGTTCCTGGACCATCAGCATCACCCAGGAATTTACTGGAAATGCAGATTTTTCAGTCCCACCCCGGACCTGCTGAATCAGACACTCTGGGGGATGAGACTAGCAATCTGTTTTAACAGTCCCCTCCCCCCAAGAGAAAATCCAATACACACTGAAGTTGGAAAACCAGTGATCTAACCAAAGAAACTCCTTATTGCTCTTAATCCTCTATGAGGTTTATGTTATAGATTTTATAAGCTAATATTGTAGTAAAGAGCCAGAAAAACGTTTAATTAAGGTCATTCTCAAATATATTTACTTTCCTACTGCACTACATAGAACTTAGTATCTGATGGCTAAGGATGTGAACTCTTACTCCAGACACCATGATTCTAGGTAGACAGACGTAAAAGCAGACGTAGAAGACAAGCTGACCAAAACACACCGTCCGGAAGCAGATAGTTTTAATAAAATTCTCAAGTTCTTCCTTGGTCTCTTTAAAGTACAGAGTAATTTGGAGGCACATACAAGTGTTTACTATGTCAAAATATACTTAGAGGCAACCAAATTCTCTGAGACTGTGTAACATGACAGGTGGTAGAAAGCAGTTTAGGTTTCCTTTAAACCTAATTATGGCTAGAAACTTTTCACCATTGGTATGTTCTCCTTCGGGAGTCTTCCTCTGACAGGTCGTGGTCACCAGGGGAAAGCCTCAGGCCAGGGGAGGAATGGGGCAATAAACAGCAGTGTTTCAGGTTCATTTATCTGGATTTACTTCAGGCTTCGCTTAAATGATTCTAGATGTTGAAAGCCCCCCAAAATAAAATGAAACAACAGTTTAGTGGAATAACAGAATTTTATTTACATCCATTTCCATGTAATATATCACATCTTCAGGATGGGCGGTAACCTATTTAAGAGCTATGCTCATTCTCTTCAGGCTGTGGATAGAAGCCTCTCCCCAGAGTAGCGGTAACTGTTGGTCTGAAAGCTTTCAAGTAAGGGGAGAATTGTGGAGATTCTTTGACTTGACTTACCCCTAAATCACCATTCATATACAAATAAATGCTTGTCTTCTAGCTAGACACTGGCTCAATTAGTTTTCCAAATACTCTAGCCATGGCAATATGTTCTTTGGGAAATCTAAACTGAGACAGAACTGCTCAACTCACTCATTAACTTCTCCTGTCATTAACATGTACACCTTGACTGCCAAAAATAGTAACTTATATTTCTTACAGAATGCACTACAGGAAAAAGCTAAAAGGACAAAAAAAGTTGCATTCAGAATATATTTTCTTTCTATAGTAGTTTTTAAACTGATATCAGCCTGTAAGTAGTTATGAGCAATAGTAGCATTTATGTTTCCCCATCTTGCCTGATATTTTGTATACTGAAAGTTATATATTCTGTATACTAACAATCTGATTTTATATATTCTGTATGATAGAAGTTGCTGATTTTCATTCTTCTGCCACCAAGAAAAGTGTAATTTACTATGGGGAAACGGATTTAAATACGCCTAGAGGTACTTTTTTTTTTTTAATCTAAGGCTTGATTTTCTCCCAATAACCATTAATTGCTTGTTTTCTAAAAGTTTTTTTCTTGAATTTTAATAAGATGCCTTATGATTACCATGGTTTCGCCAGGAAAAAAAATAAATTTAGGTGATAGTGTCCCTAATTCTGGATATCTTTGATATTGTTTACATCATGAGATTTCATTATGGTCTTAACTGTTATCCAAAAGACACTAATCCTCTCTTTTTCCCTTAAAAGGTATTTTACAGGCTGGATATTTAAACTTGTTTTCATTTTGTTACACTCAGTTTTGTTTTAGTCAGTGTAATCTAATTCGGAAGGATCCTAGCAGTATGGTTGGTGTGAAGCTCGGGTTTTCTCGTTCAGACGAGCTGTCGAGCTTCCTATAAGCAGGCTAATCAAGCTGGAAACCTTAATTTTAACTTTTTGTTCTGTACTTAAACTATGTAGTTATCTGCAGTTTATCAAAATGAAATATAAAGATGAAGGCATTTAAATAGACCACAAATGATTCTGACTTGTAAACTGGGAAGGCCTCTTGCGTTTGACCTTAAACACCAGAGAAAGAAGGTGAAGGCAGTTTGCTTTCACTGCCAACTAGATAATAGGTTATATCATCCTTCATTCTCCCAGAATTGTTCTTAGAGCCTGGTGTCATCATTAGCATGTAACTGCTAATGATACAAACGAGAACATACATGTAATCAAAGGTGGGCAAGTCTAGAGATTCCTTAAACTGGTTAAAAAAAAAAAAGACTAGGTGAAAAAACAAGACTAAACCAACATGTTACTCAGCTCTGAAGGAGAAACCAGGGATGGTTTCCATTATAGCATCTTAAAAACAGACATATCTAAAGCTTATAAACAATTTTTTAAAAGGCCACAAGACAATATTACTGGTTCTACAGGGATGTGGGAGCTGTGTATTACTGGTGTGTGGGTACCTTTCCCCATTTATCACTAAAGTGACTGCTTTACAGAGCTACTCTGGTATTCAGCTGCTGCAGTGTTAGAAAAACCAGGCCAGCCCCCATTCAACCTCACTGATCACTTAACTATTCATGGAAATGTCAGCATTAATTTTCTGAAGCCTTAACAGATCACACCAGCACAATGAAACCTTTAGCTTTTGGCAGGTGCTCCCTATGAGCATTATACATGTCACAGACAGTAACATTTCCCTACATATATGTATGCACAAATACATTAAAAACATTTAATACAAAATTGTACATTACATGAAGTAGAACCTTAAAGATTATCTTAAAATGTAAGTACAGAGAAAATGCATGCAGAGAGAGCCTGCTGAAGTACAAAGCCTATGGGATATATAATTTTAAGTTTGCATTTCCTGCAGGATGGTAACATTTCCCACCCAGAGGCAAAATATATTTTCCAAAAATTTGGACACTGCCCATTGCATTAAATTTAAGTGCTCCCTGTGTATATAGACAATCAAAGTAAGCAAAAAAAAAAAAAAAAACAACACATTCCTCTTTTTAATATATCAAAAATGTTTCCAAGGCAACATTATTAAAATGATTATACCACAGTCCCTAATATAACACCAAGCGCTAATAGGAAGGTACAATGAGGGCAGAAAGGTTTCATCCAGTCAGTGGTTTAGGTGCTCTTCTTTTCTTCACCAAGTAAATTCACTGCTGCTTTCTTGGCTGTGAGGAGGAAAGAAAACTGTGTCAAGGCAACTTGCAATACAGGCTCTGTGCCTAATGTAGTGACTAGACGGCAATTTGGATGACTCCTGTTCAGACGCGAGCACTGAGGTTTGCAGCCGGGCTAAGAGTTTCCAGCAGATGGAGAGAACTCTTCAGAGCCCAAATCCGGAGTACTCCAGCAAAGTTCTTCAAGGTCAGCTGGCCTAGCCCCCTTACAGTAGCATTGTCATCTAAGCCATCTGTCCCCGCCCCCCCACCCAGGGGCACAAGAAGCAGAGATTCCTGACACGTCCAGTGTCTCTCTGTACAATCAAGAAATTTTCATTTGCGTCTGGGTGCTCACCTGTATAATCTGACTATGTCTCAATCTGATGACAACTAGGTCGTCTATCGCATGGTGCCAAAAAATCAGAGAAAGTCCTCATTCCCACAACCCAGAAATGATGGACTATTTATACCCATGTATATTCTCTTCACTGTGCCACCATTTCCCCCTATGATGGCAAGAGCTTGCTGTAAGTTGGTGGCAAGATGCTACATTCATCAAGAAAATATTCTTACATCTGTGGGAGATTAAACCTTCCTCTTCCTAATTACCATGTGACTTGGAACGAGCTGTAAGAACTAGTGTGGTGTGTATGATGGGGGGCGGGGGTGTTCTGGAAGCCTCCAGGGTGTCCTGGAGAATCCATAAATGGCACCTGTCTTTGACGGGCCTGAAGTCCAGCGATGCCAGTCCTACCTTGTTCACCAACTGCCTGAGGGCTGTTCTCACTCCACTTAATTAAAGTCGTTGAACAGAGTTAAGAAATTGCAGCCTCTTTCTTAACTAGCCCATTGTAAAAATTTACTTCCTGGAGAATCCAGAAGTTCTGAGAAAAGTCTAGAATGTGTCACCATGTAAGTCTGTCCTAATTTATTTTCATTCTTACACTCCTGTTTAGGAATGGATCCTATCAAAGTAAAACTGGATTTTAGAGTATTGAGATCGAAGAGAACCAAGGGACTAAGAAATGTGAGTGAACTAGACAGAAGTGACGTCATCGGAGGTTGCTGGTTAGGCTGAGGGGAGGAACAGAAAGGAAATCTCTTAAAAAGAAACTGGCAATCCCCAAGTGGGAGGACATGAAGGCTACAGGTCAGAAAACACTTAAAATTGTAGGAAACTGAATGCAAGTAGACCGGAGCGGTGCGCCCAGGAGTCCAGCGGAGTGCAAGGCGTGTGAGGGAGAACAGCGAGAACATAGCTGTGGGGCTGGAGAGCTGTGCTGGGGATCTCACTTGCCCCGTGGTGAGGTCAATTCTCATCTCTCACTTCCTAATTACTATAGAGCTCTCAAAACAAAACAGTAATTCTATGTTCCTTGCCACTTTTGTCCAACTTCTAAAACCCTCCCGGTGCCCTCTGGAACTTAAGACCCAATGAATCATCAGCAAAATCCCCTCTATCACTATCCATCTCTCTGAATGTTTCTTTTACCTTCTTACTTTTACAGAAATCTGGCTGTCCCCTGAGGACACTGCTTTTCTCAAGTGGCGGCTGGTTTGTTGTTGTTGTTGTTTTTTAATACAATTTAAATTAACATACAGTGTATTGTTCGTTTCAGAGGTAGAAATTAGAGATTGATCAGTTGCCTACAACACCCAGTGCTCATTTCATCAAGTGTCCTCCTAATAATGCCCATAACCCAGTTACCCCACCCGTGGTGGTGGCTGTTTTTTTTTTTTTTTTTCTTTCTTCCTTGACCCTGGTACAAGTGTTTCTGGAGGATTTGGTAAGCAGTCCCTGTTCTTCATCACCATGTTCAGAATCTCATGTCATCAGATCATATCTGCCACCAGCCTTTCTTTCCCCAATCACCTCTGACCCATGGGCTATGCTGCCTCATTTCTTGAAGATTTTAGCTCCAAAGTTAATATCACTCTCTCACACTACTCCTATTTCAATTATTGGTGATTTCTGTGTTCTTCCAATATCCTGGCCTCTCGGCTCCCCCCTCCAATAACCTTTACATTCCGTCCTAGGGACCCCAGCCTCTCTACCTACCCCAGCCACTCCTTCCATGATCCTTCTCACTACCAGGAACCACAGTCCCTCTTCAATGTCAGTGTCAAGCATCCCACTGTCCCCCACCACCTCCTACCTTTGCAGCTCACGCCCTCCGGTATCCTGATTCAGAGTTCTCCCCCACCACCTGCTTTTATAACACACTGATCCTACCACCTCTCCTCCACTGTTCCTCACTCCCTCCCCTCGCCGGCCTGTTTAAGTCCAGCTGTCAGCCACTACCCCCTCCCTAGTCCCATTCTCACTTCCCAGCTCTCCACACGGCGCTCCGCGCACTCTGCAGCCACGCCTGTGCCGCTGAATGGGGCTGAAGGAACACCTAGACGAACCAGCCTCACTTTAAGTTCCTGAACACAAATCCGCAGTGAGCCGCTCACACTCCTGGCAGCCATGTGACCCGGCCCGACCCGGCCCCTCTCCCACCGCCCCGGCCCGTCTGCTCACGCGTGACGTGTCTCTGGCAGCTTTCATACTCCCATGGCAGGGGTGAGTGGCTGCAAGACAGAGCTGGTGGCCCACAGAAACGAACAGCTGTTACCTGACCCCAGTCCTAGGCCGTGATTTCATACCATCTCCTCTTTCTGTCCCCTCCTTCCCCATCCTCTCTCCGCTGACCTTTCTTGCTACTTTACTGAGAAATGTGGAGCCATCAGGGAGTGACTTCTGTAAGCTCCCACCATCACATAAACACCTACCAGCATCTCTACTCGTGTTAGGAACCCTTGTGCCCCTGGGAAGGCAAACTAGTGCAGCCATCTGGAGAGCCGTATGGAGGTTCCTCAAAAAGTGAACAATAGAGCGATCCAGCAATTGCACTACTAGGATCCAAAAACACAGATCTGAAGGGGTACGTGCACCCCGATGTTTACAGCAGCACTGTCCACAACAGCCAAACTGAGGAGAGAGCCCAAATGTCCATCAACAGTTGAATGGACGAAGATGTGTGTGTGTATACACGATGGAATATTACTCAGCTATCAAAAAGAATGAAATCTTGCCATTTGCAATCACATGGATGGAGCCGAAATGTATTATGCTAAGTGAAATAAGTCAGAGAAAGACAAACACCATATGATCTCACTCATATGTGGAATTTAAGAAAGAAAACAGATGAACATATGGGAAGGGGGAAAGGAAAAAAGGGAGAGAGGGAAACAAACCATAAGAGATTCTTAAGGACAGAGAACAAACTGAGGGTTGCTGGAGGAAGGTTGGGGGGGGGGCTGCGTGGGAGATGGGCGTTTGTTGTGACGAGCACTGGGTGTTGTATGTAAGCGATGAATCACTGAATACTACCTAGAAACCAATACTGCACTGTATGTTAACTATGTTAACTAAAATTTATCTAAAAAAATAAACCATAAACTCTTGTGCCCCGTGACCAATCCTGTTTGGACTCTAGATCCTAGCTCCTCTGGTCTAATCAAGGACAGAGCTCCAGTAGTTCTCCCCTCATTCATATCAGTTTTTTGCTCTCTACTGGATCATTCCCCCAATTTTCAAACATATGTTGTTCCTTCTACTTTAAGAAGAAGAAGAAGAAAAATACACCCTCAGGACCCCAGCTCCTCCTCCCAGTTGCAGCCCCATTCTTCTCCTTTTTCAGGAAATTTCCCAAAAGCCTTACCTATCTTCTCTCAGCATTGCCTCGCATCTCTCACATCCTTCCGATCAGGATTTCAGTCCCACCACTCCACAAACTGTTTAGTCAAGAGCACTAGTGCCTTCCTCACTGCCAAGTGTGATGGCCAGTTTTCCGTCGTTACTTCACTTGACCTGTCTGCAGCATGTGACACTATGGACCACTCCCCACCCCCCCTTTTGAAACACTTTCTTCACTTGGCCCCGAAGACACCAGTCACATGGCTTTCTTGCTACCACAACTGGCCACTCCTTAGTCGGCCTTGTCCGTTGCTCCTCATCTCCCCCACCTGGGAGACCCCCTGGCTCAGTCTTGGACCTCATCTTTTCTAACTATATTCACTCCCTTTGTGATCTCATCGGTTTCGTATCCAGAACTGAATTCCTTGTTTTCCCCTCTAAGCCTGTTACATCTAGGCTCCCCCAGCTCAACAGCAATTCTATCCTTCCATCTCCTCTGGCTGAAAAGCTTGGCTTCGTGCATGACTCATCTCTCCTCCTCCGCACCTGATCCCTAAGCAAATCCTCTTGGTTCTACCTTCAGAATATGTCAAGACTCCAATGACTTCCTGCCTCCTGCTGCTACACCTACGACCCAAGCCAGGTGGTCCTCTCCAGCCAGATCACTGCAAGCACCTTATGACTGGTCTCCTGATTTCCTCCCTGTCCCCCTTCAGTCTATTCTTAATACAGGGGCCAGAGTGATCCTGTTAAAGCACAGGATGGATCATGTTGCTCCTCGGCTCAAAGTTCTCCAACAGCACCCCATCTCACAGAGTTAAAGCCAAAGCCTCTACAAAAGCCTATAAGGCCTTCCATGATCTGTCTTCTTCCAGCCTCCGCTCCCCAACCTCTCTGACTTCTAACCATACTGCTCCCGCATGCAGTTTTCTCTAGCTGGAGCATCCTTCCCCATGATTTCTTTCAAGTCTGATCCAGTATGGCCTTCTTGGTGAGGATTCCCTAAATCATTCTGTTTAAAATTAGTAACTTCCCTTCAGCCCCTGGAACTCCCTATCTACCTATCTGCTTTATTTTTCTCTATATCCTCTGCTAACTATATCATATAACTTTAAAATTTTACTGTATCTCTCAATAAGAGTGTAAGCTTCATGAGTTCAAGTAGTATGGTCTGTCTGGTTCACTGGCTCATCCTCAGTGCTATGAACATGCTTGGCACATATTAAACACCTCAATAAATAAATGCTGAATAAATGAATCAGGTGAATGGAAAGGGCATTCTCTTGACCTATAACAAAAGCATATTAAACAGTTCAACCTGAAATGTATTAAAGAGATTATGCTTGTATATAAATACAGATGATTCTATAAAATCTCTGCCCAGCACAGGAAAGTCATTTTTCCTAATATGCTGACCAAATAGTGCCTTAAATGTAGCATGGTGGAAGAATCTGGGGAAAAGTAAAGGGCAACATGCAAAGTGTTGGTCAAGAGATCGCAGAGGGGCCTTGGCATTTAGCTGAGGAAAGCTAACAGGAGAGGAGGAGAAGCAGCTTGTTATTTGGGCCCAGGACCCCCCAACTCCTCCCACCTGCTGAACGCAGCTTCCGAGTCTTACCTTCTTTAGTGATGGTATCTACAGTCTCTTTGGCTTTGTCCTTCAAGTCATTCACCATAGTGTCCACCTGGGACTCATGCTTCAGGAAGACAGGTTGGATGATGCGCTTGTACAGCAGTTCGGCCCCGTTAGAAGGGCTTGGGGCCATGCACCACAACAGGAAGCCGCACTGCACAGAAAGAGAGCCTGCATGGTGACCATGGTAACGGGACAGGCAGCAGGCATCCTGACAACACAGGCTGCATGGTAACCATGGAAATGGCACAGGCAGCAGGCATCCTGACAACACACACTGCCACCACTGCTCTGGGATGGCACTGCCTCGGCCATGTTCTCCGACAGCATTTCCAGTATTTTCTGTAGGCTACAAGTGCACTTTTCTTAGATGGGAAAAGCACCCGACAAGTGACCTAGTAAGGAAAAGCTGAGACTGAAAAAAGAAAGGCAAAACACACCAAGTCCAACAGCTTAACTTCTTTCCTAACTTGAATTACTTTTTAGTTTATAGCTGCAAGAAGTTTTATTAATCATAGCTCTTAAAAATCAACTGAAGAAACATAGCATTTACCTGCATGTGTAAAGAAAGCTGTCTGGATAAGCCTCGTTCTCACTGGCTTACCCCAGTAGGTCCGTCCCATTTTTTCATCCGTTATAGACAAAATACCCTGGCCACGTTTTGAATTCTTTCCTTAGCAGAATCTCAGTTTTTGGTAGTTTTTGCCTTCCAGGAATCTTTACAGTCAGCTCTTCATCATCTTCCCCTTTGAATGAAGATATTATTCCTAACTCTTTCTTTTGCCATTGGAATAAAATAAAATAATATCATTCCTAACTCTACTTTGCCATCAGAATGAAAAATGGACAAGAATTATGCCCTAAAAATTTAAAAAACAAGAACTGTCACACTATATGTCCAAAAAAGTTTTACTGTTTTTTCAAATGACAACAACTCAGCACTTTATGTTGTCCCAGGAGTTTATTCTTATCTAAGATACTGAGCAAGAAGGGGGATCTGCACAGAAACATGCTCATTTCCCTAGAAAGTTAAACAAACAACCTACTGGGTTCTCTCAGTTTAAAAGATTCTAACTATTGTCTTCCACACAGCCAAAAAATAGAAGTCACTTCTCGAGATTCCCAATCTGTGCATTTCACAGCTTCTTAAAGAAAAAAATCTCCTACTTCTTATGCTATAAATTAAACTCTACACCTTTAGTCTCTGTTATTCCAATCCAAAGAATATATTCAAGTAATCAAGAAGCTACAATGCTTTTCTAAGACAGTCTTTTAAGTTTGCTCTAGAGATAAAAAGCTGTTAAGGGGCTAATACCAATAACGGAGAGCTTGAGCTTAAAATGCACACATTTGTGCCCTAAAGCTCACTCCATCAGCACCATGTTGGCTCTGAGGAGTTTGTATTGCATTTTGGGCTTCTACCACGCTCAGAATACAAAACATGTTCTCAACAGATGACTCTCTCTAGATTATCTGAACTACAGAACTCTGGAAAAATAGTATTCATAAATTAGAATTTGTTACAGACACAGGAGAGCAGGGGGCAAGCTTTCAAAAGACAGGGGCTCATCAGACTGGATTAAAAACAAGTTACAGTATAGCTATATGCTTCTTATAAGAAACACATCTAGGGTGCCTGGGTGGCTCAGATGGTTGAGCATCTGCCTTCGGCTCAGGTCATGATCCCAGGGTCCTGGGATCGAGTCCCGCATCGGGCTCTCTGCTCAGCGGGGAGCCTGACTCCCTCTCTCTCTCTGTCTCTTATGAATAAATAAATAAAATCTTTAAAAAAAAAAAAAAAACACATCTAAGCCAAAGCCACCTAGGAACACTCAAAATAAAAGAGTGTAAAGAGATGTTTCAAATACCAATTCTCAAAACAGCTCATTTAGTAATATTAACAGTACATAAACATTATTTAAGGCAAAATAAGTAAACCGTGTTAAAGAAGAAAAACAATTTGCCAAGAAGATTCACACAAACCTACATATCTTTGAAAATATAAATTATATATAGCTTTGTATATATATGTGCAATTACAGAATTATCTATATAATTTTTGTTTTTATAATTTTATAATTAATTATAGATAGCTTCCAAATATAGCTTTGAATTATGTAAATTAAAAAGTCAGAATTATATAAATGGAGAAAATCCACAATCATCATTTTTAACACTTCCACCAGAAATTGATATCTGAAACAAACTAGAAACTAATAAGAACAAGGAACACAAAATTAAAAATCTTGATCTAAAAATATACAGATCTCTCCACCCAACAAATTGATTTTTTAATTTATTTAACAGAGGGAGAGAGCACAAGTAGGCAGAGTCGCAGGCAGAGAGAGAAGGAGAAGCAGGCTCCCCGCTGAGCAGGGAGCCCGATGCAGACTCGATCCCAGAACCCTGGGATCATGACCTGAACCGAAGGCAGATCCTTAACTGACTGAGCCACCCAGGCACCCAACAAAATTGATTTTAAGACAATTATATACTACAGATATAGAGATTAAAAGAATAAGCTCAGAGAAACTGGGTTCTAACCCTGGTTCTGCCACTTACTAGTGAGGCAAACCTTGTGTGAGTTACTTAATTGCTTAAGTCTGTACAGACTTTATAACATAAATAGGCGTTAACTAAAATTAAAAAAAAATCTACCTCATATAGATTTTGTGAGAAAATAAGAAACATCTGGACCATCCAGAATAGCTGGGGCTCTGTCTCTGTCCCAAGAAAACTGTCTTCTACCAACAGCCATGGAACAGTAACAGCTTAAGTAATTAGCTTTAAATGTGGTAATTACAATCAAATCCCAAAACCAACATATACCCTTTTCTTAAAAAAGATTTTACTTATTTACTTGAGAGAGAAAGAAAGGGAGGGAGGGGGAGCACGAGCAGGGGGAGAGACAGAGGGAGAAGCAAGCTCCCCACTGAGCAGGGAGCCCACCGCAGGGAGGCTCCATCCCAGCCCCTGGGATCATGACCTGAGCTGAAGGCAGACGCTTAACCAACTGAGCCCCCAACATAT